ATTACGGCTTATTTTCATATATCATTTCATCATGGCTTATTTTTCACATAAGATACTGTATCTGCGCAACGTAGTTGCGTTAAAACTAGGAACCACTAATTATTTAACCCACTCCAATTTTTCTTTATCGAAATTATTGGCTGTGCTTTTGCTCGTGATCTGCCACATCTCCTTTTTGACTAAAGCGGTAAAGGTTTTCATCAAAAAAATTTTATGTATGTTACTATGTATGTTATATCGATATGCACACTGTATATATACTGCACATACCAGATGCTATATACGCTGTATGAGCAACTACCCATAAAAGTTCTTGTTTCACGTGATCCGCTTGCCACGTTTCAAACTAATGAAACAAAATACCGGCGATAACTCTAATTCTCTTTGTTTTTTTTTAACCCGATTTTATTTATAAAATCTCTTGACGCAAACTCTTTGCTTTATTAATATTTAAGCATTTACTGATATGATAAAAAATTAATATAATCAAGTGACCAAACAAAATTTTGGCGGCCAAGTTTATATGTTTTTTTTTTTTTGGGTTGGCCTATAAAATTAACAACAATGAATATAATAGTGCTACGCCAATATATACAGTTATTGCGCACTGGTAACACTCCGGCCCGGCAGTGCGCAATAAAATAGTAAATAGTATTATAAACGAGTACATTATATGCAGTATTTAAAATCTATGTAAAAAAAATTCGATCAAAGAAAAAAATAAGTGTTGCACGATAAAAATGGATATCTTTTTGTTAAACACATTTATAAAAATAAGTAGCTGCGCAATGCAGTTGCGCGAAACAAGGAACGGAAATGGAAATCTCAATTTACGAATAAAGCAAATTTGGTATAATTAAATAAAATATAATGAAATAATTTATATTCGACAAAAAAAAAAGTGAAAGAATCTAATGCTACTAAAACATATATACTAACTTTATCTTGCCAATTATTTATGCATTTGTAAATTCAAAAAATTTTTTATACTGAATGCAAAAAAAAAAAATAAAAATAGATATGAACTAACTTAATAAATATTCTTGCTACTCACAAAATTAATGCTAATAAAAGGAATAAATATGTAGTAAAAATTTTGAATAACAGTAATTTGGTTTAACCGGACGAATGAACACTTGAGCCAGGGACGGTGAATACTTCCATTAAGAATAAAACGGAATAAAATGATAAATTATAGCCAATCAAATCTCGCTATTAATCACGTAATAATCTTCGGAAATTGAAAATTATTTTGAAAATTAAATTTGGGTTGGCTAAAAGTTTTTTTTTGGTGATATCGGAATAAAATGGAATAATTGGCGTTATCATCATAAAATTCGTAATTTAATAAAAGAAGTATTCCCTGTCCCTGACTTGAGCCAAATTACTGTTGTTAAAAATTTGTTAAATAATGGCGTTATCTGACAACTAATGATCATGATTGGTAGGGAGGCGTAGGTGGGTTTTAATTCGAGTAAACATGAATATTTCGTAATACATAAAAAAAATAACAGACAGAAATGCATTCATGATTAAGAGTTGTCGGATAATAATTCGAGTTGACATAGAGTCAACGGATCGAAAAGATGCTAAGCATGATGAGGCGCCTTGTGAAACTATCGACCGGAACAAGTCCAATTTCGGATAATCAAAGAAAGTAAATTGGATCTGAATGACTTTCTGCAAGCATTAATCATTAATTCAATAAAGGCGGCAGTATGAAGAAAGATAAATTCTTGGAAAATTCAATCGGGACCTACATCAACAATTGCTTACTCAGCTGTGACAGACCACAATTCGCGACCACCTTCTCCCAAAGGAAACTAGTCATTTTCATATATACAACTGTGAATATCAATATCAATATCAATATTGGCATATTCATACAATATTCATTTTATCCGTGAATATTCACGGGTCCCAGCTCTAATCAAGGGTCAATACAAATGTTTTATACCCAATTGATATTAATTTAACAATAATTTATCAAATTCTACTCATTATTGATCAATATGAAAGGTTATAAAAATGTTAAAATTTAAATTTAATTTTGTCAACCAAAATGTTAATGTACATGACTCTTATAATTTTGTAGTAATCAATTTAACAATGAAAAATTTATTATTTGGTGGTTTTTTTTACTTTTGAATTTATATATCAACAATTTTTTCAATACAGCACTAAGCCATTAAAGTTTTAGTCACATGGTAGTGCTTTAAATGGTTCTTTTAATTCAATCTGCAAACCCGAAATTATCCGTGTTTACATATTTAGAAATCATAGCCAACTATGGCATCCAACCTAAATGCGAGATTTTGTGGACGAACATGTTGGTAAACCATACTCTCCGTTTTCACTTACGGAAAACTCCGTTCCTGGTACTGTATAAAATTGTGCAATTCAATTTTATCGGAGATCAAGCAATATCAATTCTATTTTACCGTAGATCATACAATATCACATAAATGAATTTATTTGAATTATTAAAATTTTTAATGGCTAAAATGGCACACATTCAAGGGTGCGAAGAAAAGAAACATAATGTCATACAATGCAATATGGTGTTGATTATTTCATAAAAAATTTCAACTTGAGAACTTAATCGTCTAAGAGATCGAATTAATTACAATTTAAGTTAATCATCCTGCATTCTAGGTCTTAAACGAATTTTAAGTTCTCGCCAATGGTAAGATGCATCATAATATAGGTCCAATCTTTGATCTTTATTTACAAATTCCATGTTATATTTCATTAATACTGCCACTAAAAGGACTTTTATTTCAGTAATCGCCCAGTTCCTTCCCTGTCAATGTAAATTATATAAATAAGCAAATTTTAAAATTCGCATGAATAATTTATATATAAATTGTAGCTTTTATTAATACAAACCGGACAAATCCTAGCACCTCCACCAAATGTTGAAAACGCCCTTTTGCTGTTAATTTCTTTAGCATTCATTGATCGTTTACTATTCACATTCTTCAAAAACCTTTC